GCAATAAAATCAACATTGACTGTTGATTTAACTTTTCTTAAGCAAGTCCAATTAAGTATGTCTTCAAACCCTCTTGTTCATGATATCAAGAATAATTTTTCTAAATCTCATGATCCCTCTAAATTTGAATTCAAGAACAACCTATTCTATTTTGAAGGACGCCTATATGTTCCAGAAGGAGAAGCACGTTTACGTATTCTTCAAGCTCATCACGACTTCCTAGCAGCAGGATATTTTGGATATAATAAGACTTTGGAGCTGATATCTAGGGATTTTTGGTAGCTTCAAATGTGGAAGGCAGTCAAAGATTTTGTACAATCATGTGATGTTTGCTTAAGATTAAAAACTCCTCGTCAACGACCTTTTGGACTTCTTCAGCCATTATCCATTCCAGAACAACCATGGTCTTTTGTTTCTATGGACTTCATCACGGATCTTCCAATCTCAGGTTCTTATGACTCTATATTTGTGATAGTAGATCGTTTTACCAAGATGGCACATTTTGTACCATGTATAAAATCTATTACAGGTGAAGAATCAGCTAAACTCTTTCTTGACAATATCTATGGCTATCATGGATTACCCAAGGATATTATATTCGATAGGAAAACTCAATTTATATCAAGATTTTGGAGGACTCTTTTCAAGATTCTAAAAGTGGATATAAAACTATCTTTGGCATTCCATCCTCAAACTGATAGAGAAACGGAGCGTGTTAATCAAGTTTTAGAGCAATATTTAAGATGTACCATTAACTACCAACAAGAAATTTTGGATAACTCTTTTGCCATTGGCAGAGTTTGCTTAGAATAACACAGTACATTCTTCTAAAAAAACAAACACCTTTCTTTGCTAATTATGGTTATCATCCACGACTTGATACTTTTGACTTTTCAAAAGTTGATAATCCTATTGTGAAAGATTTGCGATTCATTTATCAGAGCTACATGCAACAATGAAGGCACAATTAAAAGAGGCTCATGAACAACAAAAGGTCAATGCGGATGTCTATCGAAAGGAACAACCACCATTCCTCTTGGGTGATAAGGTATGGCTACTTCATCGTAATATCAAGACCACTCGTCCTTGTGACAATTTGGACTATCGAAGGTTGGGACCATTTTCTATATCTGTACAAATCAATCTAGTTGCATATTGTTTACTTCTACTAGAGACAATGAAAATCCATCCAGTATTTCACGTGTCTCTTCTTGAACCATACAAGACAGTGGACATACCAAGAAGACGACAAGCTCCACCTCCTCCTATAGAAGTGGATAATAATGAAGAGTTTAAAGTAGAAAAGTCTTAGATTCAAGGCGGCGATGAAATAAATTGGAATATCTTATCCATTGGCATGGACATGGTATTAGTGAACGCACATGGGAGCCAATAAAGAATCTTACAAATGCAGCAAAGGCAGTGGAGGCTTTTCATCGACGACATCCATCAAAATCAAGATGAAAACCTTCTTTATAAAAGAAACAACATCTAGGCAAGATAACATTCTACTTTCAATCCTTGTTCATAGCTTCTTTGTAGTTGTGACGTTCAGGAGATGGAGAACCAACAACTAGTGGATTTGACTCAAGAACCTTCATTTGCTGACTTGTCGGACGAGACATTAGAATTGTCAGAATGTTCAAGATGATGCAATCGAGATGAAGATCTTCAAGAACGACATGTTCTTCCTCGAATAGATGGCGAGATACAACGTGTTTGGTATCACGATTTGGGAAGGGACTCCCGATGTTTGGTGATTTTGCTAGAAGTAGGAACAACTGCTGATGGTGTTCCAAATGTTCTATTCGAAGGAAGTTATGAAGGCCTCAACAATGATCAAATAACTGGGTGATTTTCTCGCCCTGGTATGGGACACTACCGATGGTTGAGAGGCCCTATCAATCATCTTCAAAGAGAACAAAGATCAGAGTATGTGGTGAATACAATTCGTCGCATCATAGATTTCTTCAACATATGATGACTGCTCCTCGTTGAACTCGTCCCTAAAAGGGGGGATAATGTCACGGACATATGCATGTAAGCTAGTAATTACATATAGAAACATGTAGAAGTAAGTAAAAGTAGGTAAAAGTAAATTAATTTTATAGTATTTAATATGAAAGCTTCCTAGAAGCTTCATAGATGCTACTTTGACTTCATAGGTGTGTTTAATTGACTTTTTGGATTAGAAACGTGGTCAACAAGTTGGCCATGTGCCACACATGTTGGTAGCTTGAAGTTCAAGCTAACTATGTGGCCCACACGTAGAAAAACTTGCCTTGTAAGTCAAGGCATATGTCCTACAAAGTCAACACATATTAGAGGTCCTATAGAACATCGCCACGTAGCCCCTAGTTAGATAGTATATATAGAGACAAGAGTGAAGCCTTCTTCACTCTTGTCAACTCCTTTCTTGCTTCTAGTCTAGTTTCAAGGGTCTCTAGTTTTCTTGTCTTTTGGCAATAGCCATTCTAGTTTCTCTTTCAATATACATACTTATTTATTTATATTTTGTTACCTTTCTTTGAGTGAAGGCTCACTTATCTGGATTTTTTTTTCATCGAGTTCTTGTCCTTGACACAAATCTATCCGCACTTCCACTGAGTGAAGCATCCATTATGTTTCCTTTTATTTTAAGCACCTTAACGATTTTACAAGTCAAAATAAAAGAAGATAATCCACATTCTCTAATATCAAAAGAAGAATTATTCACTTTTTTTAAAGAAAAAAAATAGTATTAGAAAATAAAACAATTTGTTTAAAAGTGGATACTCCACAATCTTCAAAATACAACAATAGCAGTGGAGTAATCCACTGACTTCTAAAACTAGATAAAAACAGAATATTAGCACTCTTGTCAAACTATCAAGGACATGAATTTTGAAGAAAGAAATTCTCAATACACTCTTATATCAATCATAATTACAACTTAATTATGATTAAGTTTCTAACCTATTAATCAACTACAATTAGATATAAAGTCAAAGCAGCATCTATAAAGCTTTTAAAAAGTTTCTATAAAAAATATTATGAAATAAATCTATTTTTATCTATTTCTATTTAATCATATAAATAAATATTGGAATTAATATATATATATATCCATGATAAGATGTCAACAAATGTAATATATTTTTAATATATTTCTACAAGTTTTTTTAAAAAGTATCTTATCTGTCTAATCTATTTTTATATAATTTCATATGTTTCAACTTATTTTGTTTTATTTGATTAATATAAATATCTATGTTGATTTTATACAAAGATGACAATGAATAAAAATTTATTATAGTAGAGTAAAAAACCAACATCTTAACAAATTGCAATGAAGTTTAAAGCAATAAATCTTAAGTAGTTATAATATTTATAGTATAAATAAATTTGTAGTTTTTATTTTGGGATATACTTTTTAAAAAATTGGCACATAAACATGTTCATTTGTAAGTTTCTAGTGACATTTCTATACTCCAAGGTTTTGACTTTAGAACAAGCAAGCATACAATGTTTTATTTTTATAGAAATATGAACTTGCAGTTATATATAATAATCTTATATACATGTATTTTCTAAATTAATATATAAGCAAAAATTATTTTTGATACTCTTTAATCCAATATTCTTATAGTTGTTGTGATTTCATAGGATTTCAAAACGACAATGTTGAGGGTATTATAAATAATAGATACAAAATATTAGGAGAAATAATGTTCATATTTTAAAATAAAAATATATTTTTTTAAAAAATAAAATAATGCTATCTAAACATGCAACAAATATCTCTTATTGATTGCAAACTAAAGATTATATTTTACTAAAACAAATTTTGTTGCTAAGACATCATGTAGAAGTAGATGATAATTAATTATTTAATTAATTTTTTTGATTTTTTTAAAATATAAATAAATAATATATTTCTTTCAAGTATCAATTTTGATTTTATTTGTAGTTATTTTTATTTTTATTTTTATACTTTTCCTTCTTCTATAATGAAACATAATTTCATATTTAGAATATCTAACCATATTTCGATTGCATTTGTAGTTATAGGAGCATTTCTAAGACAATCAAAAGTAGGTTATTCAAACCAAAGTTTTTATTTTAATTAAGAAAAAATTGTAACACATATATACTCTAAATTCTTTGCCAAAAAATCAAAGTTAGTTAATTGATCCATTCATATTAGTGTTGTAATTTTAAAGATTATTAATTATACCTTAATTTAGCATATTATTAAAATAAATAGAAAGAAGTTAATAAACATGAATAATTGATTCTTAATTTTTAATGGTACTTATCAACATGCAACAATTGTAAACACCATTGACTCTAAACAATCAATCACATCAAAGGCTAAAGTAAAAAAACAAAGAAAAAAGAGAAAGTGCCACTCAATAAGTAAACGAATACTTAAATAATGTACAAATAGAATACAAGTTTCACAATGCTCAACAATGGCTATACTTTAGGGTTTTGTTCATGGCTTGGGATCACTCGGAGTAGGGTTAAGTTTGGAGCCGAGGCTGCTGCTATGGTGGTGATTAGTTTGGCGAGTTACGCTACCATTAATCTCTTCGCCGCAAATCCAACTTTGCTTAACTTCAACCTCCGAGCCATGAATGTGCCCTTTTCTCAAGCTTGGCGTGACTTTTCTTCCAAAAACTCCATCGAAATTGCGTTTCTGTTAATAGAGGCAACAGCATTGAGTGTCGCTGCGATATTGGTTTCATGAACCGCATTTTCATGACCGAAATAGAGTTCGAGCGAGTGATTTTTAGCACGCGAAACTCGAAGAAAAATCGACACCAGAAATGGCGTGTTGTACTAAGATTTTATTGCACCGTAGGAACTGATAACGTCGTCGCCGTCGTCGTTGGCTTCTTCCCGAAGCCAGCTCCAAAGTGCGAAGAACCGCAGTGAGTTCGCTTGAGTTGCGGGGAATGCCCTGACAATTATATGTGAGAGACTTTCGTTCAGGTTTGCGCTGAGCGGTTGTTTCTACGTGGCGGTTTGGAAAAACTGCCAGGAACCCCGCAGATCCGCAGTAACGAAAAGAGACGAAGAGAGTTGGAGCGATGGTGAGGGCGTTCGTCAGGCAAGGGCGGTGAAGGGGGCAGTAAGTGCATGGGCAGGGTCTCGCTCTGGATTCAAACAAGAAGTGACAGACGAGGACGGGGCAGCACAGTGCAGTATCCACCCCTGTACAGAACGCGTGACTTCCGGAGGAACGGCTCTCTTCCTGTTCAGGAAAGCCCCTGCATTAGTGTATACCTGTACCGGAATCCGTGACTGACGAACTGGTATGGTAGAGGAGGTTTTCTTCTGGCCCTGACAGCTTCCACTGCGATTCTCCCTCAAAGCTTTCTCCTCTTCTTAGCAGACTGGACGTCTGAAGCTGAGCGCATTGATCTTCGTAACATCTGTACCAGCGTACTTTGTTATTGTCTCTCGCGCAGTCTGCCTGCGGTGCGTTGCTCTGCATACCTGGACTGAGCAAAGTCTGTCCAGAGTGAGGTTGCTTGTGACGTGAACTGGCCGGCTCTGCAGGAGGTGGATGTGGCGGTAGCGGTGGAGATGGAGTAGCGAGAGTGGGAATCTGATTGAGAGATGGGAGGAGTGCGGATTGAGGTGGGCGGGTTGGTTCACGTAGATTATTTTTTGTTTAGAGTCAAGTGAGCACGTGACGTGGTGAGATGCGGCGGACTGCGAGTGTGTCATGTGTGGTGGAGCGGGGTCGAGATTGAGTGGGTAACTGCTACGGTTTATGAGAGGGTATAGAGTCGGGGTGGAGAGTGGCACTTGTAGCGAAACTCATGGATTAGCGAGGTTGTGTGCGAAGTTGCGTTTAGGTTTTAGGTGTGTTGGAGTTAAGTGATTGAGGCTGGTGTTGTTTTGGAAAAATGGTACAAGTGCACTTGGATGCGTGCTTGCCGGATGTTAGAGTGGCGCCTGTGAGAATGGTAGGAGTATCTCAGCAGTCGCCTCGCAGGACTGCGAATTCAGGAGGGGTTAATGATCCGGGGTCTTTGCACAAGAGTACGAAGAGATTCTCTCGATCGAGGAGTTTGCGTAATTCGGGAGGAGAGGAGGATGTGTATGAAGCAGAGTTCGGTGGGCCTGCGGAGCGTGCTCCATCGCGTGCCTCCTCACGGTCCAAGAGTAGGATTGCGAAGGATGCCCGAGCGGAATTGTTTGGCCTTGATGATGCAGTGCACAATGTGGTGCGTCCTAGAGAGTTGCGCAGCAGAAGCGCTGCGAGGGTTGAGGGTGTAGACGTGGAGATGGTCGAGGAAAAGAACGAGAGCGTACACATTGAGGTTCCTAAGTCTCGCTCTTCTTCCCGTATGAGAGGTCAGAGAACGAAAGAGAAAAGCGACGCAATTGCAATGCAAGCTTCACTGCAGGGTTCGATGGAAATGGAGGCGCGTAGTGGTCGTTCTTCTCTACTGCTAAAAAATGATTCAGCTGCGCATGAAAATGATGGAAGATTGTATACAGCTCGGTCTACCCCGAGCTTGCCCACCGCGCGTCCATCTGATAGAGTGACAACTCCCCGCTCAAGCTTGAGAAGCTTACGAGAGCAAGAGGAATCAAGAGCTTCACCAGATGTGCCAGTGAGAGAGGAGTTGCGAAGCTCCACCGTGGAACACCGACCATTATTGCCGAATTGGGATTACGATGTCGGTGGAACACCTGAGCAAGAGGCAATAGTATCTTATCGCATACCCACGAAGAGCCCGCGATTAACTGGAGAGAATAGTGATCCCCCTGAGGAGAGGCTTCTCAGAGTTGAACGTCTCACGAGAAAACAAGGAAGAAGTCCAAGGAAAACGCCAGAAGAAACCACAGACATGGAGGTGGAACCCGGACTGGTTCATACTGAGCGAGCTCCGCGAAGAAATGTTAGAAAGGCAGACTTGGACGGACCTGAAGACGAAGAAAATTATATGGATCTGCATAGAAGAGCCAGGGTTGCTCGGCAACCTAAGAAGAAGGTGCGGGATATACCTACTGATCCTGCCTCATCCCTGCCCGTCATCCTACTTCCCCAATATGTGATGACAGATGTGGATCCCGTCGAGCATGTAGATCCTTTTCTACCAGTATCTCCGAATTTCTCGTCGCAGTACTTCAGAGGTTAGTGAGTTAACATTGTTCGCGCGATGAATTTTTCTTTAATGGCTATTCTTTACATGCTTACAAATGGATGGTAGATTTTTTAATCTTCTAAGATCTTACGAACAATTAGATCATAGTATAGATTTATATGTCTGATAATAGGAAACCACGTGCTCAATTTACAACCTTGTATGACGTTGCACATTTATCTCCACTTGCAGTTGTTCGTTCCAGTAGGGGGCATAATCGAGGTGTATGCCCTCGTGAAGTCCTACAACTTATGCTCGTATTTTATCTTTAACTCACATCAGACGTACGGAAAGAATTAGTGGCTTTTGGAGGCATAAATGGGTGCGTCTGATTTATTTCAAATTTCCTTCTTCCCAGTACACATTTTAACTGAAACTACTTTGAGCAGAGACTAGCACCTCACGAAGTGTCGCCTGGCTCCATGTGTTAGGTATGATGGATTGCTTGTACTTTATTTAAATTGACTGCCGTATTCGAGGTTTGCTTTCTCTTTGTTTTCTTATCATATCATGTATTATTTTGTTTAGAAATCTGCTCTCGAGGACGATGGCTTTGTTTTCCGTTACGGACATTTTTTTCCTTGAACTCTGGTATACATGTTCGCTATGGGCTGATCATTTTTGAATATTTTCCTAGGGTTAGCATCACTATGACTAATTTTTCAATATGACACTGCCCACATCAGTATGTAAGAAACCATAGATATTTTGGTCTGATTATTATTTGGATATTCTACAGGGGATCTGGTCATGTGGAAAGATGTCCCAAGATCGACTCTTTGGTTTGGTGCAGGAAGCTTTGGCATCCTCTCCGCTTCTGTCATGAAGGAAATACAGTTGGGGTAAGTTCTACTTGATGTGGCTTCCTTTCTCAAAGCAAGTGATATTGGACAGCTCTAGTGTCATCCCAACTAACTCTGGTTATCAGCACAAAATTGGATGAGGTCCAGTATATGTAATCTGATCCACTGCGGTTTCCTCTACCAAGATACCTGCAAGGAGCTTCTGTATTAAATTTGAATATCTGTGACTTTACACAGGATTGTTGCTATATCTGCCAACCTGGCATTGTGCTATTTGGCAGTAGTTTTCTTCTACCGAACTTTTCTACATAGGTATTTTCTTATTGTCTTCATCATTAATAAACTCTAGTCGTGTTGTTCCGAAATGACCCTTTTTTCAAATTCGCTTGAACTTAGTGAGCGTGATGCTGAATTTGACCAGAATCCCCATAGATACATCATTATTGTTTGTATAATACTGTGATTGTATGTGACATTTACACTGGATCTTCTACCAAAACTCTCGATGGTGTATTGGTCTCCCAGATCAGTTGCTCAGTCAAGTGGCGGACAAATTAATTCCAGTGAAGTCACTGAAGCTGACTTCCTAGGTCTGATTCAGTTTGTCCTACCAACTATAAATCTGGCGTTGAATAAGTCTAGAGAGATTTTCTCTGGTGACCCTGCTACCACTTTAAGGGTATGTCTTATGATTCTTATCAAACTTTCGTACTCAAGTCTTGCGCTGTTTATGAGTTTCATCTGTTTTAAATCTTGTGCCGGAGATGTTTGAAAATGAAATTCTGATCTATGCTCTTAGTCACTAGGTATTACTGCCAGATCACCCTGCTGTGTGAGGTTTTGGAGTTCTACAGCTTTGTTGACTATTCTCCTGCCCTTTCCAGGTTGCAATCGTGCTCTGGTTGGTTTCAAAAATGGGTGCAGGGGTCTCAATATGGAGCTTTTTACGCTTTGGTACGTTTTTTTCTACAGAACAAGTACATGCCCTGTTTAAATTTAGAAAAAATTTCCTGTAATTTCTTAAACATCAGAGTATACGTTCACATATAGGTCTTTGAGCTTGACACTGGGTAGCCACCAGTAGCGTGAGTTGCTACTTGTTGAATCTGCAGCTTTTTAGTTGCAGTTATGGTGTGCACCTGATTTACGGATGTGTGTTGTTTCTTACTTTCATGTGGGTTCTTTCTTTCGATATGGCAGAGCATTATTTCCTAATTCGTTACATGACATCTTTCTTGCAGGCTTCTTTGCGCTCTTTACTATTCCGAAGTGCCATTCCCGCTACTCAACTCAACTATATGAACTTGGTATTAGCTTGAAGCCCTTAGAGGTTTGCATTTGCAATGTAGCTCCAGATGCTTTGTCCATATCCAGGAAGCTGTGCGTGGTTCGGAGGACCTAAGTAAATTATTTCTCTCTCATCACCCTTATTTGCATCAAAACAATTTCAGTGACAAAATCAATTAATTGCTGTTACTGAAGTTTAGCCGAGGTTGTCGATTTATGTCTTCATCACGGCACTATCTGACTACAAACCTTCATGTGAGGCAGCTCAATCTCTTCTTCTACGAGGCAGGGCGACATGGGACTCATTTACGCACAAGAAAGCAATTTTATTAGGTGGTTTCCTGCTCGCTTGGAACACATCTTCATATTCATCTCGATTTTGGGGTGGTAAGCTCTCAACTAGTCCATTTCACTTGCTTGAGACTGATGCAGAAATTGGCGCTATTTCCAAAATATTCAAATTACAACTTTAATCTCTTGGTTCTGTGACTTGGTGCAGGCTTTATCCTCATGGTTTGGCTCAAATTGTACCAGCAGTCAAATCCAGCAAATTTCGAGAAGGCCTTAGCTGATGCCGGTGACAGCAGTGCAATTGATCGTATCGACCGCAGGAGGAGCTTATTACATTCCACGATCGCATCACAGGTGTGATCATCTTGCTTTTATTGGACTCTTCTTGACCTTCTGAGGGTTGACCTATTAAGATGTCTTGGGTTACACTTTGTGATATTATCTGTTGTACCACCCGAGGTTTCTCATGCCTTGAGTTGCTCTGCTCTTTCACAGGTTTCTCAAGCCGTACCCATGTCAGAAGATGTATTGTCGAACAGCCAACCAGTCCAGGAATTTCCAGGTGAAGCATCCCGTTCAGAATCTTGGTTATTTCAGAAGGTTCAATGTTTTATGGTGTAATTATTTGTTCTGACTATGCAGGATTCTAAAAGTTGACTTTGGTGCAGATAGAAACGTGAATGGGGTTGGATACAAAGCATGAGGAGTCATCAATTTGTTTTGCATATGTGTGCATTTGTGTCTATCAAAAGCAACTTTCAGCATCTGTTCTGTTAGGCAGTACGCTGTCTGGTCGAGTCTTGGAATCTAAAGCAGAGCAATCTACAAACTTATGTCTGATTCCTTGATGTTGGAAGACGCTGCAGCTGGTATATATGTTAGCCTCACAACGTAGTCTTTCTTTCCATGTTTTCTAGACACTTCAGAGAGTTGTACATATCTTAGCCCTAGCCAGTTATAACCTATTCGCCTACTGTTACCGCATAACGACACAGCGGTTAGGGTCAAGATTGAGAGCAGAAGGACTTTAACATAGGGTTTGGTGAATTTAGTTGACCTTGACTTATCTTGATATATCCAGCATATGTAAATATCTTTGTTCATGTTCAGAAATTTCCTAACCTTGAGCGAGAGGGTTCTCTCGGAAAACTGAGCCATTTACTTGATTGTTTCGAAAATTATTTGAACACCGTGCAATTGTGTAGGTAATTCATCATCCCGAATGATGCATCGGGTCTCAAATAGCAAAAATTGAAACGTGTTAAATGTGTTCTGTTCCTTGTAGTGGTCCAGTCAGGTCTTCAAGCTGGATAGCATTATCAGTTGAGCTAGAGATTTCCATCTTACTGTTTGCATTGTCGCGACTTTGCAATATCGCGCAGTGTTTGCAGGAAAATGACACAAAAGTCGGGCAGCAAACTGACATGACCACGACGGAGAGGCTCAGTAATAAATGTTGCGGAAAAAACTGTCCTAATAGCAGTTTTCGTGGTGTAGTTGGTTATCACGTCAGTCTAACACACTGGAGGTCTCCGGTTCGGACCCGGGCGTAAACATGGGCGGGGATAGCTCAGTTGGGTGAGCGTCAGACTGAAGATCTGAAGGTCGCGAGTTCGATCCACGCTCACCGCATTTTCCTTTTCTCCGTCGCGCTTACGTGCTTTCCTTCCTGCATCTCGCACAACTCTTCCCTTAGTGGCCACGAAATCACCGCAGTCCAGCTCAGCGGAGGCTCTTCCCTCCCCTCATACCGAAACTATCCCTATCACCGCTGCGTTTTTCTGAACAACACTTTCAAGAACCATCTACTTATAACTCCATGTGTGAAAGCATGTTCTCCTATGAACACTCCCTACTAATCCACACTTTGTGGCCCCTTCCCACCTTCCACTCGGGATGTGCCACACCTCATTTGCACCTCCTCCATGCTGCTGCTTCTATTCATGTTTAAGTTGCAGATGAGATTGTTACCGTTAATTTACTGAGCACCTCCTCCATGCTGTCTTTATTTAATGTTATTTATTATTTTCATTATTGAATGTAATTTTCAACAGCAATTTTGTGGGGAGATGTTGTGTGGATAAATATGAGATGACCACTTAATTTTTCTTTTGCATAATTTATCATCCACATACATGAAGAAGATCAAAGTTTGATTAGGTGGTTGTGGTTGTGATTTGGCACTCTTGAGGAACAAAGTATCATTAGGTTCTATGTTAATGGATAGAATTGTTATGCATTGAAATTATAATTTGTTGGCACCACTTAAGATCCATAAGCTCTATTCTATTCCCAACTATTATTAATCTTACTTTTGAATGTTATATAGAATTAAAATTAACCAAATTAATATGCAAAAGTAGTGTGTGGTAATTATGTAGATAATTACAACATATTTGATGTCAATTAAGAATGTATATATTTAATATTATTTATTACCTAACAAGAGTATTATTTTATTATTATTATTGTTATTATTATCATTTTTTGAGAGGTATATTAATTTTTTAAAATAAAATAAATGTTCATCTATTAATCACATATTTTATTATTATGAAATTATTAATTGCATTTGAACTATATTGGTATTGTCATTATTGTCATGTGATGTGGCATCAGATACAAATTCTTGTTAGATATATGAAGTTTAGTTTGATTTAGTGGTTTTCCATCTATTATAGTATTTTTGTTAGTAAACTTTGTTAATATCAATTAGGGTTTGAAAACATAGATGGAAAAACTTTTTTGACTTGGTATTCTTGTGAAGTCAAGTTTTGTGAATGATTTAGAGAGAGAAAAAGTTTGTTTTATAAGGATTTGCTTAGCTATAGTGATTTAGCCATTTTTAAAGCTTTAGGATGTTTTTCTTCTCACACTTGTACTCTTGGATTCTTTCTTTGTGCTATGAAAAATAGCTTGTCTTATTTCTGTATAGATTCATCATCTTTCACTTAACATGAATGTTTCATCTACTTCAACTTGTGATATAGGAAATTGAAAGAAAGAAAGAAAAAAAAATCCTTCAATCTTTTTGAATACTATATTTGCTAGGTTTTTGAGATGCATCTGATTGTAAATTCTTCTAATAGATATTAATTGGTTGAATTCTTAAAAAAATATTTATAAAATTATTCAAATAAAAAAATATTAGGATTAGAGTCTTTTTGGTTATCTAAGTATTTATTAAAATTTAGAATTTTTATAGATTACAAAAGTCTTGTTAGAGAAAAAATCATAAAAATTGAGTCTTGATAAGTCTTGGAGGCAATTATATTAGTTGGTTTAGTATTTTTATTTACTATTAAGTATTAATGGTTAGTTATTAAGTGTCAGGGACATAAATATCAAAGAAAGAGAATCTTCAATATACTCTTCTATCACTGAAGAGAACTAGAAAGTCACTCAAAAGGTGATGTAATATTAACTAGAATTTCTATTGCCAAAAATAAGAAGACTACAAAGTCTTGAAACAAGACTAAGACTAAAAAAGTGTTGATAAGAATAAAGAAGGCTTCACTCTTGCCTCCATATATACTATCTAACTAAGAGCTATGTGGCAATGTCCTATATGACCTCCAATATGTGTTGACTTTGCTAGCCACATGCCTTAACTTGCAAGGCAATTTATCTATGTATGCGCCATGTAGTTAGCTTATTCCACAAGCTACTACACAAAGATAACTTGTTCTACAAGCTACCAACACATGGTTAAGTTGTTGGCCAAGTTTCTAACCTACAAACACATCTAAAGTCAAAACCACATCAATGAAACTTCTGGGAAGCTTCTCTAGAAGACTTTATGGAATTAGTTTATATTTACCTATTTTTATCTAATCATATAAGTAAATATTGAGATAAATATATATGTCCGTGACATAATCCCCTTTTTTAGATACGAGTTCCATAAGAAGCAGTCTTCATATGTCAACGAAGTTCAAGATGCGATGAATTGTATTTGCTACATACTCTGATCTTTGCTCTCTTCGAAAATGATTGATAGGTCCTCTCAACCATCTATAATGTCCCATACTAGGGCGAGAAGACCATCTTGTTATTTGGTTGTTATTGAGGCCTTTATAACTTCCTTCAAATAAAACATTTGAAATACCGTCAGGAGTTATTCCTACCTCAAATAAAATCACTAAACATCGGTAGTCTCTTCCAAAGTTGTGATATCAAACACGTTATATCTTCCCATCTATTCAAGGAAGGACATGTCATTCTTGAGGATCTTCATCTCGATTTCATTGTCTTAAAGGTTGTGACAATCACAATGTCTTATCTGGTATGTCCGCAAATAAAAGCTCTTGAGTTGAATCTATTGGTTGTTGGTGCTCCATCTCCTCAGCATCACAAATATACAGAAGCTACAATGAAAGATAGAAAGTAGAATGTTATTTTTCTTTGATCTTGTTTCTTTTATAGTAAAGGTTTGCTATTCTTCATTTTGATTTTGATGGATGTCGTTGATGAAAGACTTCAACTTCTTTTGCTGTATTTACAAGATTCTTTGATGGTTCCCATATGCATTCACTAATATCATATCCGTGCTAATGAACAAGATATTCCAACCTATTTTGGCGCTACCTTGAGTCTAAGACTTCTTCCACTTGAAATTCTTGATTATTATTCACTTCTATAAGAGGAGGTGGCATTTGTCTTCTTTCTAAGATATTCACTGTCTTATATGGCTCAAGAAGAGACATGTCAAATAGAGGATGGATCTTCATAGACTTCGGTAGATGTAATCGATAAGCAACAGGATTGATTTTTTCACAAATAGAAAAAGGTTGCAGCGTACAATAATCCAACTTATTACAAAGACGAGTAGTCTTCATATTACGACAAAGTAACTATACCTTGTCATCCATATTATATTGTGGTTGCTCCTTGCGATAGGCATTCATATTGGACTTTTGTTATTTTTGAGCTTCCTTTAATTGTATCTTCATTGTTGTATGTAGCTCTGACAAGTGATTTGCTAAATCTTCCTCCACAGGATTATCAACTTTTGGAAAGTCAAAAGTATCAAGACGTGGATGATAACCATAATTGACAAAGAAAGGTGTTTGTTGAGTGGAAGAATATACCAAATTATTATATGCAAACTCTATAAATGGTAAAAGAGTTGTCCAATCATCATCATGATAGTTGATGGTACATTTCAAATACTGCTCCAGAACTTGATTCATCCATTTTGTTTGTCGATCAGTTTGACGATGAAAAGCCAAAGAAAGCTTTATATCCACCTTTAGAATCTTAAATAGAATTCTCCAAAATCTTGATACAAATTGAGTCTCCCTATTCAATATAATATCCTTTGGTAATTCATGATAGCAATAGATATTATCAATGAAAAGCTTAGCTATTTCTTCACCTGAAATAGATTTTATATATGGTATAAAATATACCATTGTGGTGAAGTGATCTATAATTACACATATAAAATTGTATACACTTGAAACGAAAAGATCTATGATAAAATCCATAGAAATGGAAGACCATGTTTGTTCTAGAAGTGGTAACAGTTGAAGAAGTCCATAAGGTCAATGGCGAGGAGTTTTGGATCTTGAACAAATATCGCATGATTGTACAAAGTCTTTGACTATCTTTCATATTTGAAGCCACCAAAAATCTCTTGATATTAGCTCCAAAGTCTTGTTGTATCCAAAATGTCCGGCTACTAAAAAATCATGACGAGCTTGAAGGACACGTAATCATGCCTCGCTTTTAGGAACATATAAGCAATCTTCAAAGTATAATAGGTTGTTCTTAAACTCAAACTTTGAAGTGTCACGGGATTTAGAGGAAGTATTTTTGATATCCTGAACAAGAGGATCAGAGGACATGCTTGATTGAATTTGCTTCACAAATATTGAATCAATAGTCAATGTTGATTTTATAGCTCAAAGATAAAAATGCTTGGGCTTCAAGAAAATTAATCTTTGTTGATCAAAAGATGCATCTCCTTCTTTTGGTATAAGATAAGAATGTCTAAAAAGGGCATCTGATAGACCTTATTATTTTTTAGGTCGATAAGTGATCTTGAAATTAAATCTAGATAAAGACATGCTCCAACAAGCTTGACGATGATTCAAGATACTTGTTGACATGAAGTAGTCGAGGTTCTTATGATCTGTATATATGGTAACTAGATTTGAGGCACCTTCTAGATAATGATGCCATTCTTGAAATGAATCCACAATTTCAAAGAGTTCTTTGTCATAGATTTCATAATTAATCTTGGTTATTGAAAATTTCTTCAAATAAAAAGCTATTAAAAGGAGTTTATCATCTGTTCTCATTTGTTACAATACGGCACTTATAGCAAAATCTGACTCATCTATTTCCATAAAAAATACCTTGGAGAAGTCAACGCAATATAAGATTGGTACAGGAATGAATTCCTTCTTTAAATCATCAAATGATGCTTTTTCTTCTTTATTCCACTTAAATTTATCTTTATAAGTCAAATGTGTAAGTGGAGTTGCAACTTGAGAAAAATTCTTGATGAAGATTTGATAATAATTAGCAAAGTCCAAAAAGCATTGCACAT